TTCTTACACTTTTTTTTTTTTTTTTTTTTTTTGATTTTGAGGACTGAACCCAGGACTTTCATTGAGCTACGTCCCCAGCTTTTCTTGTTACTGGTTTTTTTTTTTAAATTTTGAGACAAGGTCTTGCTAAGTCACTGAGTTGCCTAGGCTGGGCTCTGACTTGTGATCTCCTAACTCAGCCTTCCAGAGCGCTGGGATCGCATCTCCCATGTCTGGCTACTTTTTTTTTGTTGTTGCTGGCTACTTCGCCTAATAATTTTTAAGCAATAAAAACTATTAGGCATCTTCACAACTTCATTTATTAAGAACAGGAATAAGCACACTTCTCTTGAAGCTTTCGTACATCTTTTCAAGCATATGTACTGCTTGGCTTGGGTAATTAGCTATAAATGAACTAAAATACAGCACAGACTGGAATTTATACCCATCGTGGATCATGCCACCTGCCAGGGCGACCCGACCCAGGGCTACATCCTTTCTCCTGAGTGTCCCCTGGTGGAACAAAACTTTTGTCTTGGTGAAGTTCAACAGTACTACTGTATATTCAATGTATGTAGCTTGTTATTGACCTGTTTTTCCTTTAAGCTTTCCTGAGACTTGAAAGTGTAACTTGAGAATGTGAAGTATGATAGATACGTAAAGATACAACGAAGATGAAAGTAACAGGTTAAAGGCTGGGGATTTAGCTCAGCAGCACAGCGCCTGCCTGGCAAGCGCAAGGTCGTGAGTTCGATTCCCAGTACTGGAAAAAAAACCAACAACAACAAAAAAAGAAAGTAACAGGTTAGCACAAATGAAGCTTAATTAAAATAACTGCTAGTCACCTAAGTGTTTTAAGCCTTTTTGGTTGTTGTTGTCTTTTTGAGGGTCTCGCTATGCTGTTCAGGCTGGCCTTGAGCTGGGTTGGCCTCAAACACACAATGATCCTCCTGCTTCAGCCTCTGAGTGCTGGTATTACAGGCTTGTGCCACTATGCCCGGTACTAAGCCTGTTCTTAGTTTACTGTCTTCTTCCTTTTTTTTATACCTGTTGTGATAAAGTTTTCATATTCTGCCTTGCCGCTTGATGGATAAAACAAAAGAAGGAAATCAGGCACAATACAAGGTACTATGACGTGTGTGTAGACTCTCCCCCATCTATGCAGTGACCCCACGAGCCAGTTGGTGGGGGCAGCACAAGTGTAAGGAATATGACACCTACCAGTCCTAGTCCTTCGATAGGTGTGATTTTAATAGATGTGCAAAGTGTTATTACATCCACAAGTCTATCTTGAGAAATTCTTAATTTTTTTCCCTTCCCCTTTCAATTTTTTGAGGGTTGTGTGTATATGTATGGGAGGTTTGTCTGGATAAGTTTGTCTTAGTTAAAAATTTCAACTTCAGCCGGGTGTGGTGTCACTTGCCTGTAATCCCAGCACTTGGGAGGCTGAGGCAGGAGGATTGCTGTGAGTTTGAGACCAGTCTGGGCTGCAAAGTGAGCTCAAGGCCAGCCTAGACTGCATAGCGAGACCCTGTCTCAAAAAGACAAAAAAAAAAAAAAAAAAAAATTCAACTTTATTTGATTTTCCTTAGGAACAGTGGTTCTCAAACTGTGGTCTGAGATCTCTGGAGGGTCTCTGAGACACTTTTGGTGGCTTGAGGAACTAAAAATACTTTCCATAGTAACACCATTACAAGAAATCTTTCCACTTTTATTCTTTCTCCAGTGTAAAGTTCTTCCTAAGCCACATGAAGTATGATACAGCAAAAGACTAAATGCAGAAACAGATATGAGAATCCAGCTATCTTCTACTAGGCCAGATATTAAAGAGATTGCAAAAATGTAAACCACTGCTACTCCTTGCTAAATTAGCTTTTGTTTTTAAAAAATGTAGTTATTTTTTCATAAAATGCTAATCACGTAACTGCGTAACAAAGTTATTAGTGCTTGTTTGTTTTGTTTTCAGTCAGGGTCTCTCTATGTAGCCCAGGCTGGCCTCGAACTCATGGAGATCCTCCTGCCTCAGCCTCTTGAGTGCTGGGATTACAGGCTTGCGCCACGACGCCCGGCTTTAAACGAACTACTTTTACGATTCTCTGTTTTGTTTCTCAGAAAGCTAAACATAAGACCCTCGTTTCATCTCCGAGTTCCGGGAGCCCCGGGGATGCCGGGTCCGTTCTGCGGGAAGAGCCTGAGACGTGGGGACAGTTCAGACCCCGGCTTTCGCGAGATTCCAGTCTTCTCTGAGCCTCGGGGTTTTTGGTTTTGTTTTGCAAACGTGAAAAGACGGACTTGGGAATTTATGATGTTACATGATCGTGCTCACTATTCTTCCCAGCTCTGATCTCAATTCTTGTTCCCGCCTTCATCCCGACTTGTGCATTCTCGTTTAATCCAACGAGAGAATTAGAGATAAAACTAGCCCTTTTCGTCCTGCAAACAGTCTAAGGTGAGCGATAAATATCAGGAAGACTCCTGATGGGCGGAACAGTGGTGGCACGAGACCTAGTCACAACTGTGCCGGTCCGTCCGCTCCTTACCTGCCAGAGGTTTCCCCTGACAGCCCCAAGCACCGTCCGCGCCGCCATCTTGAATCCCAGCCTACCCGGATCGCTTCCGGGTCACAGTGACTTCATTGACCATAGAGTTCGACGAAAGAGAGAGTGTATGCTTGTTTTCCGGCCCAGGAACAACCATAGAGATGTGATGCCTCGCTTTTTATGGGAGTGGAACCCGGCCTGGGCAAAATTGCTTCAGCTGGTAGTTAATAGTTACCAAGTCCTTTGTTTTCTCCCACAAAACGTAATGTTTTATTTTTATCTACAAAGCCATACGTGGCTTGGCGTGCCGAGCTTGGTGGCGCACGCCTGTAATCCCAGCACTCGGGAGGCTGAGGCAGGAGGATTGTTTTGAGTTTGAGACCAGCCTGGGCTACAAAGTGAGCTCAAGGCCTGTCTGAACTGAATAGCGAGACCCTGTCTCAAAAAGACAAAAACAAACAGAAAAATGTATGAGTGGAAAAAATAATATTGCATCCAAATCTTAACTCTTTCCCTCCTGAGTCCTCTTCTAGTGATGTTAAACTTACTTTCCTTCCCCACATTGATGGAGTCCTTGTGTTCCAGCTAACTTGTACACCACCGTCCTACTGATCTTAAATAGTTCCTTGTGTTACTCCAGTATTTGAGAGTCTACAATAACTGCCTTCACCTACTATGACAACCCCAAAGGATTGAGTTGCTACTGTTCACCATAGTTTAATTCCAAGTGAAAAGGCTTGTAACTGGATTTGCTGTCATAAAAATGTCTCCTGTTTGTCAATCTCTCTCCCCCCTCCCATCTCACCCTCCCTCCCTCCCTCTTTCTCCTTTGTGTGTGTGTGTGCGCGCGCATCTGGGTTACTGTGTAGTGCAGGCTGGCCTTGAACTTGCTTACGTAGCCCAGGCTGGCTTCGAACTCAATGGGATCCTTCTGCCCCAGCCGCCCCAGTGCTGGGATTACAGGCGTGCACCGCTATGCCCGCCCTCAGTTTTCTCATATATCTAATAGAAATGATAATAATAGATCCCACTTCAGGTAGTTGCTGTGAGGATTAAATGAGATCCTAATATATGGCATTATTTAGTGCCACGGCAGACACATAAATACAGGATAAGTGGCATCCCATATTTGTAATATTGTGTTGCTTCTACCTCGTCCGGTTCAGAAGGTTGCAGGGAAGATTAAAAGGAAAAAGATCAAGTAGTTTATGTGCTGCTTTGTAGATACAAAAAAAGCACTGAGGAAGTTGCTGTCCCTCCCCATAAGTACCACCCTATTTTGCAGAGAAGAGAACCAAGAGCAGGATGGGATGTTTGCTAGACATCACACACATTGGGAAAGTTCTCAGAGCGGAAGTCAGCTTCCCTGCCCGCAGCCTGGCCCCTCTGCACCAGGACGTACCCAGACACCCAGCGTGCCCCGTACCAGCGCGTGGGAATAGCGCGCTTTGCCTGTGTGAACACTGCTGGACTTGGCTGTGGCCACCTTGGCAGGTGGGCCCTCCCCAGAATGAAGCTCTGCGTTGTGACAGTGAAGGTGACTTCTCTCAGCCAATGGGTATTCCCAACTGGTCCCCTTCCCCAGCCAACTCTAGCTCCTCATTGCTGCTTCCGTCTTTCCCAATGGTGCGTCCAGGATGGCTCCCGAGCCTCTCTGCCCAAGTGCCCTGTACCTATATCCCTGTCATCACAGCCTGCGAACCACTTCCACTTACAAAGAAGACATGAATTGGTTTTTTTTTTTTTTTGGTACTGGGAATCAAACTCAGGACTTCACGCTTGCCAGGCAGGCGCTTGTGCTGCTGGGCTATATCCCCAGCCCAAAGACATGAATTTTGATCCCAGTGTTCTAGGCCAGGAAACCAAGGCCCCGAGATGACATGACCCTCTCAAGATCATACGGTGAGTTGTCACAGCCGAGCCAGTAACCACCTTCCAAATCCTACTTCAGTGTCTCTTCATCCCGACAGCGGGCTGGCCCTGGTTCTCTGATGAGGACCTGTTCTACTGATGTCTCTTGGTTGAAGGCGGTGGAGATACCCAGCCTCTCCAAGGACAGACAAATGGTACGAGAAAGTCTTCAGATTACACACCTGGGCCCTGGAAGTAGCCTTGACTCTTACAACACTGGCTAAATGCACACTGCTTCTAAAAGGATCCTTATTGTATTTGACTTAGGACCATCTAAAATAGAAGGCTAGCCAGGCATGGTGGTCCACACCAGCACTAGGGAGGCTGAGGCAGGAGGATTATCTCAAGTTTGAGGCCAGTCTGGGTTAGATAGAGAATTTAAGGCCAGCATGAACTACACAGGAAGACCCTGTCTCAAACAAATAAACAAACAGAGCTAAAAGAGATGGCTAAAAATAAAGTTTTAAACAAATAGAACCTAGAAGATCAAGGTCTTGCACAGAAGTGTCCTGCTTAGGGCAGATTCTGTGTAAAATTCACAATTTCACGTTTCTATTATTATTATTATTATTATTAATTTTTTTTTTGTCTTTTTGAGACAGGGTCTCGCCGTGCAGTTCAGGCTGTCCTTGAGCTCACTTTGTAGTCCAGGCTGGTCTCGAACTCAAAACGATCCCGCTGCCTCAGCCTCCCCAGTGCTGGGTTTACTAGCATGCATCATGTTTCTTTTAGAGCTCACTACTGACTATTAAAAAGTAAAGCACATGAAAATCTGGAAATTCAGATTGACAGCACACCTACACCAGGGTGGACACGGATAGTGTTGACGACTTCCTGTAAGACGCCTGTGAGTGACAGAGTGTGAGTGGCGTGGTTTCGAGGGCCGTGTCTTCAGACGGCTCATCCTCCACGAGGGCCGGCAGCGTGCCCTGGCTTCCAGCGTGTGTAGCCGGGGCAGTTTAATGAGATTTATGTCCGACCGGTGGCAAACCTCCAAGCCTGTTGTGTATAGGAGCTGATCCCAGGCAAATGAGCCTTGAGCCAGCATCAAGGTGTCATTTCAGTGGCTAGAAATAAGGAATATTTAAGCCAAGAGAAACTCAAAAAAGATATTTTATTTTCAGAGCAGCTGATGCAATATCGAATCAGGTTTTCACAAATAAATATGACAGTGTGTATTTGGTTACATTTCTCACTGATAAATGCCTGCCGATAGGAACTGTAATCAATTTCTGAGAAGGCGAAATACTGGAGCCTAATTAAAATTTTCCTGATTTTCTTCTTGAAAAAAGTATTGTGATAATTTTTAAAAATCCTTAACACTCAGGATGGGAAACAATCTAGAATGCCCCCCCCCTTTTTTTTTTTAAGGAATGCACCTTTTTAGGACAAGTCTATAAAACATCTTTATTTATTTGTTACATATGATGTTTAAATATAACTTTGCTTTCAAGTCTCAAACTTTTTTCAAACCCCTTGTAAAATAAGACTTTTGGTTCACCTTAACAAAAACTGACCTAGGAAGAAACATTTTTAGCAAAATGTTATTATAAAATTCACTAGAAAATACTGTCTTTTTTTTTGCCAAAATGTTACATAAAATCCTTATTAAAAATACACACATTACAAAAGAAAAATTATGAATATGCTATACATAGTGCTTTGATATGGACCGAGGGACCTGCATTCCAGGGAGGTACAGTTAAGCACACTAGATATTATGATGTCAACTTACATAATAGTGCAAACCTGAATAAATTACATCCCAATATGGAAGGCATGCGAGTCATTTGCTGAGAATAGAACATAACGAAGCCAGAACAGGAAGCAATCACAACCGCTATTTAAAAATGTTTTCCTTTTTATTACATTAATTTTTTTCAAAAATACTTTTCTTTACAATAGAACTCCTAGAAAATATTTACAACCTTCCTCTAATAAAATATAACAGCAGTTAAATATATTTGAAAATAAGATGGGTTTTTCCATAAAATATATCTGTTAACTTTTTTATATACAAGCTTTCTCAAAGAGGTCTAAATTCACGAATGAAAAACCATCTGATCGTAAACAGTAACCATGTTGAAGACATGAACAGTCAGGAAGGAAAGTTCTTTGGGGTGGGCTTGGCGGTGGGGAGAGATCTGAGACACAGCACATACATGCAGGTGGAATCATTTCAGGAAGAAAACAAGTGCAATATTTTATAGGAAGTCAATTTTTTAAGTTGATAGCTGAGAAATACTAATTCAGGTAATTCGAACTGTCTCATTCGGGAGGAGTTCTTTGGTTATTTCAAGTAGAGATCCTTATACTATGCTGCATGGAAAATTAAAATCAAACTGGGCATCTTATTTTTGCTGTGACAACTCAATGTATCTCTAATGCTTAGAACTGGAAGAACTGGCCCAATCTCCAAACAAGAGGCAATGTGCTTTCTAAGTATTTTTCTGCGCATCTGCTCCTTTGATAGGCAAAGGGTGTCTCTGATGGACCCAACTGCAGAACCGTTTGGGACGCAGCCTCAGACGCCAGAGGGAAGAGGCTACTTTGTGGCCAGCCAACGAGGTGGCAGCTGGAAGGTTCTGTAATAGCTCCGCCGGAAGCCAGTGCACGATGCCCAGGTAGTTCTGAACTCAAAACCACCTCAGTACAACAAAGACAGAACAACCTGTTGAAATGGCAGCAAACTACTTTTTTTTTTTTCCTAAAGGAAAGATGAAGGGAATCTCCAAGACAACTTCTCTGAAAACAAAACAATGGAAACAGAGTGAATCTATTTTTCTTCTCTCTGTGGCTTCCCTGAGATTCAGAAACCACTGCCTGGGCCGTGTTGGACTACAGCTGGCCCCATGACTGCATGCTAAATGCTCTCGCAGAGCTGAATTCCAAGGATGCCCAGGTCCTGCCCTTGCCCCTGCTGTGACCTGTCAGGCTGTCCATGTGCAAGCGCAGTGGCCCAGCATGACGGCAGCACTGCCATGGTGTCAGGGAAGGAGTCGGCCTCAGAACGAGGGTGCCTGGGAGGGGGTGCCACACAGCACTGACACTGACGGGGAGCTGAGGAGTGGGGTCCTTTCTGTGCGGGGCCGTGCCCCTGGCTGACTTTTGCACCAACAGTGGGATGGGCCGATTGGACTCAGTTCAGAAGCCTGGGCAATGACCTTTTTGAAGGAGTACAGGTTTATTGCCTTCAAGTACCAACAGCAGCTCTGCCGCTGGGGCAGGAGGTGGCAGAGCGAAGTCATGTAGCTTAGCAGCTTAGTGACATCTAGAAATGCTTTGGCAAGTGACTTGGAGAGAATACATTCGTGGTTTGAATGCAAAATGGTAGCTAAAGTGTATCTGAAACCATTTCTGTTGGCCCCAACGCAATTTCCCATCCTCATGTCCTAGAAAACGCTCATTCTTTGTGGCTAGCCTCTGGATAAACTTCACTCCAGGTGTGAGCGATAGCAAAGTCCCAGGGAAGGAGGTTTCAAAGGACGTCCAAGTGGCACAGAGTAATTTCAGACCTCCGCTGAGCGTGAACGAAAGAACAGGCTCTTCTGAGCCATTCTGTCAGGACAAGGAACACTTCCCGGTGGGTCAGAACAGAATAAAAGTAACACCAGATGGGAAAGACGACCCAGGCCCCAGCAAGAAGACGGCTGCCTGCCTCACGTATACACACACACGTACTCGCTCCCAGCAAGCTTTGCGATGGAAGGCAACCGAGACGGCCACCATCTGAGAGCAGTGGATCAGGAATGTGAGGGTCACTCCCCACGGGGAGCGCCGATCGTCTCATGAGGGTGTAGCCCAGACGAAACACCTCTTAGAAGATAGTTGTGCCAATTATTTATTCCCCCCCAACCCTCAACAAAAACAATTTAAAAAAAAAAAGGAGAAGAAACTGGATTTTTTTTCCTAAACCTGAATAAAATGACCACTTTTTAAACAGGTAGTTTAAAAGGGTTTACAAAACAAGTGGGCAGTCCAGGTTTCCTGATTCATGACGAGGGAGGCTGTGGGTTCTCACCGCCTGGAAGCAGCCAGCGGGGCTTTAGAGTTCCGTGTCACCGTGAAGCAATGCTGAGTCTTGGTCATCCAAGAGCAGATTGGTGTCCACGACCTCAGCCTCCTCCATGACGCCTCCGAACTGCTGGACCACGTCGTCGTCGAGGATGTCCACGTCCTTGATGGGTTTGATCAAGCTCAGCTGGCCCAGGGGCAGCAGCCTCTGGGCCCCCACCGGCTCCGTAGTCCTCTCGATGGTGGCTGCCATTTCGACCGCAAAAGCTGCCTTCTGAGCCTTCTGCCTCTGCTGCTCCTCCTGCTGCCTGTGAGTTTTCATGTGTGCGTTTCGGCTTTTGATCTTGAAGAAGACCCTAAAAAGGAAAAAGCAGCAAGTGACTGAGTCCTTGGAAATCCTAGTGTCCTACAGGGAATGGGGATGCAGGCTCGATGGCTGTTTTGGGGTGTCTTTGACAGAACCCCAGGACTTCCTCCTGCCGTGACCCGTCACCTCCTCCTAAGCACTACAAAGATGAGGGGAGGGGACCAGAACACAGTGACTGGTGTGTCAAGCATTCTTTTAGGGCAATGGAGGAGGCCGCTTCAAAGGCTTTCCTGTCCCTCTGGAGACTGGAGCTCTCCATCTTTCTTCTCCTTCGGCCCTTGCCCCCCACGCCCCCACTCCCCCTCCTCGCCTGGAGAATCCCTGAGCATGCTAAGAGCTCTTGACAGTCCCCATATAAAGCAACTCCACAGCGCCCTGGCCTCTAGCCCTGTCCCTCCATGGAGTACGCTGGGAGGATCCGCCTGCGTGCACTGTGGCCTCCCCTTTTCTCTCTTCCCCTTCATTCATCAGTCTCTTCCTCCTCAAGGTCACCAGTAACCTTGTATGGCCAGCGCCACCGGTCTTTCTTTTTTCTTTTTGCAGTCTTACGGATTGACCCACATCCCCAATTTTAAATTTTGAGACAGGGTCAGGTCTCACTGAATCAAGTAACAGGTGTGCACAACCATGCCTGACACTGTCTCCTGTCTTTACTGGGCTGGACTCCTGAGCTGTATCCACCCCTTCTTGTTGCTGAAGGCACCTTCCCATTAGCCATAATGTTACCGTAATTTCCTACTCTTGGCCTTAGAATCAAAGTGGATCTCAGCTGGGGATGAATGTGCCTTCGCACAAGACGGCTGGCAATGTCTGGGGACAGTTTTGGTGGTCTCAGCTGAGTGGGGAGATGCTCTTCTGATATCAAGTGGGGGAGGTCAGGGATGCTGCTAAACGTCCCACTTAGAATATAGTCTCTGTTCCCCAAACAAGGAGTTATTAAGCCTAAAATGTAACAGTGCTGAGGTTAAGCAACCCTGGGCAAAAGGATGTCATATTTTGGGGGTTAACTCTTTAGATCAGGTGCCTGCAAACTACGGTCAGCAGATCAAATCTAGCCTGTTCTTTGCGCATGAAGTTTTATTGGAACATAAAACGTCTGTGTATTGTCTGTGTGTGTATTGTTGCTGGCTGCTTCTGCACTGTGATGCCGGGCTGAGCCGTTCGGACGGAGGCAGCATGGCCCACAGAGCTGAACATCTTTTACTCTCTGGACTATTTTCAGACCAGTCTGTCCAGATGTGAGACTATATTTATGGGGGATGGTGTTCACATAGATATTCCACATTCACTTCCAAGCTCACAAAGGAAAAAAACTAAAAAACAAACTGAAAATAGAAATCAAAACCTTGATTTCTAAGGCCTAAGTCAACAGGGTTGATGAATTCTGTTTAAACATATCGAAAATTGTTTAATGTAATAAATATATCAGCAGCTGCAATTCTGTGAACACCTGCTTAATGTTAAAACCACATAAAGCATTCTATTTCATGTAAGATATTAACCAAAAAAGAATCCAAGCAGCATAAAAACAACAAAAAAATTTAACATATACCCCTGAGAGACAGCCAGAAAGTACAAAAGGTAGGTTGAGTCTCCCTTACCAAATTGCTTGGGCCCGAAGTGCCTCAGATTTTGGAATATTTGCATATATATAATAAGATATCTTGAGGCTGGCACCCATGTATAAACATAAAATTCATTTGATGCATATAACTATATAATAAGGTAACTTTATAATTTTTAATAATTTTGTGCATGAGACAAAGTTTCAGGGAGTGGAATTCTCCACTTGTGGCATCATGTTGATGCTCAAGGAGTTCTGAATTTTGGAGCATTTCAGGTTTCAGAGCTTTTTTTTTTTGGTTTTGGTTTTTCTCCGGTACTGGGAACTGAACTCACGACCTTGCACTTGCCAGGCAGGCGCTTTGCTGCTGAGCTAAATCCCCAGCCCCAGGTTTCAGAGTTTCAGATGCTCAACGGGTACCCATTTGTGTAAAAGCATCCTCTGTCTCCACCTGGTGGAATAAACCTGTTGCAGCCTGTGTGACCCGAAGGGGAAGGTGCTTGCTCCGCGCTGCTCCCGCACTTCCGCTCCAGGACAACGGGTGGGAGGGAACGCGGCTACACTGTGACTGCAAGTAAAGCAGCCTAGGATCACCCTGGTGCTTGTTCCTTCCATGCTTCCCCAACAGGTGGTGGGTGGTGACGTCAAGATGCTGTCCTCTCCAGGCTCTGAGTGACTGCAGGGCACAGAGGAACTGACTGATAAAAATCTCTCCATCCCTTCTCTTCATGGAGGGAGGATGGCGCTGGGTCTGAGGCACTGTGGTGGCCCCCTGTGAACTCCATTAGGGTTGCCTGGAGGCAGCCTGGCCTGGAACGGAGCAAGGGCAGCTGCGGCTGATGTCAAGTGGCCCAGCAGTGTCCGCGAGGATGTGGAGGCACAGCCCTCCTCACGTCCCTAGGGGTGTTTTCTGGCCGGTGCCTCTCCAGGTAACGATCCTGTACATACAGGACGTCCCATGTGATCACGGAGTGCCCTCAGGTCAGGCAGACTCCGAGAAGGAAAGGGAATTCTCTCCTGGAATTCCATGGGGGAGAACCATGCCTCTCACCACCATTTCCTTCCTAAAGTGGGTAAACAAAGCAAACAGAGGCGAGGGCAACAGTCAGGAACCCAAAGCTGGGTTCAAAACTCTGCTCTCCGCTGGCAATGTGCCCAGGGGTAGGGCATTTTACCTAACTAAATCTCTGTTTTCTTCAGTACTTGGAAACTGGGAATTGAACCCATGGCTTTCACACTGAGCTGCATCTCCAGCCCTTTTCTTGTTTTTATTTGAGACAGAGTTTCTCTAAGTTGCCCAGGCTGAACTTGAAGCTGTAACCCTCCTGCCTCAGGATCTCAGGGCACTGGGATTACAGATGTGTACCACCACCCCTGGCTCCTAGACCCTTCTTGTAAACCAAGAGACAGAAACACATCCCAAGGAGCTTCTGTGTGAGGACTACATAAGTGCATGCACAGAGTGGGTAGCACAGTAAACGCTCAGGAAATGTGAGCTGCTATTATTACTACCAATGGTCAGCTTCCTCCCTTAGTTACTGTTTAACCCTACACCTAAAAGGGCAGGGGGACAAACAAGTTTCACCTCATGCATGAACTCTAATTAGCTGGTTGTGCAACTCTTAATTAGCTGGTTGACACATGCAACACTGTAAAAATGGGTACAGGGTTTTTTGTCAGAGCAAACCCTGGAAGTGCTATGATAAAAAGGATCTGTGGCTCTGTCCTAACCTGACAGGAGTGCAGTGGCTGATTCACGCTGTCTGCTGGGCACAGGGCTGAGCAGTGTGGCTGGGGTGCCTGGCTTCAGCGTCTGCTCTAGAGCACTCCTGATTAGGGTTCTAGGGCCACCCTGAAATCGCTCAGTGACAGTAGTGCCCCCATTCTGAGGTAGAGGAAAGGTCCTCTTCCAGAGCCCAAGGGCGGCAGGAGGAGGAGCCCAGGAGCCAGGGTTCTTCCTCTCTAGCTGGAGAAACCTGAGCTGCTCCTGCCCAGCCCCCACAGAGGACCCGGTCCACTTGGATCCGGTCCCTGGCTCGAGTCACGTACTTGCCACACTCCTTGCAGGGGAAGATGGTGGTGGGGTCTGTCTCGCCGCTGGTGGTGCTGTGAGAGGGTGAGCTCTTTACTGAGCAATACCCGCTCTGGGTGCCCCCTGGCTTCTGCTTCCCAGAGGGGACAGCTCCCCGGGTCTTGGTCACCTGGTTGGTGCCACCGTGAATGCGGGCATGGCCGTTCAGTGCCTGCCGGGAGCTGAACACCTGGGGAAGAAAGGGAGTGACATGACATCTACAGTCCTGAAAAGGAAATTAAGGTTATTAGTTACTCAGTTATGAAATAGGGACACACGCAACAGTGTAAAAGTGGGCGCAGTGCTTTATCAAAGCAGACTCCGGCAGGTACCACAGAAAGTGCACATCAAATACACAACCTTCCATCTTGCCATTTTGTATGTTTTTTGTTTTATAAGACAAAGTCTCTCGATGCAGTTCAGGCTGGCCTCAAACTCAAAGTGATCCTCCTGCCTCAGCCTCCCAGTGCTGGGATTACAGGTGTGCACCACTACACCCAGCTTCCTCTTGCCATTTTGAAGTCAGCAGACTGAAGTCAGCAGGCATCTAGAGCCTGCTTTATCATAACCAATGCGGAGGCTGTTAGCTATTTCCCCTCATTATTTTCCATTTGCAAAACAGGTGGGGGGCTGGACTAGTTTTCACCAATTGTGACTTTTTATTAGTATATGTCTGTGATATACAGTAACTGCATTCATTTTGGGGAAGCGGTACTTATACATACTGAAACTTCACCATTTTTACTTCCCTTTCCTCTCCCTGCCCTCTTGTCTCCTCCCACTCCTAGGTCCCCTTCCCATCTCCACAGTCTACCTCCCTATTTTCTACCATTTCGGGTTTGTTTTTTTTGTCTTTTTGAGACAGGGTCTCACTATGCAGTTCAGGCAGGCCTTGAACTCACTTTGTAGCCCAGGCTGGCCTTGAACTCAAAACGATCCTCCTGCCTCAGCCTCCCGAGTGCTGGGATTACAGCTGTAACATTTCATTTTTATTTTGCTCTTTAATTCATATTTTAGATTTCTCATATAACAGAAACCATGTGATATTTAACTATCCATGCCTGGTATAGTTCATCTTAATATTACGGTCAAAGTATATCCATTTTCCTCCAAATGACTCAGGTTTATCCTTCTTTATGGCAGAGCACTACTCCAGTATGTACAAATGCCACATTTTCTGTATCTATTCACCTGCTGATGGACACACAGACCCTTTCAAGATTTAGCTCTTATGCACTGTGCTGCTATAAACATGGCTATGCACGGATCACTGAATCAAAGAAATTTGGCCTACTCAGAACTTAAGTTACAAGCAGAGGTTGTCTGGCTGAAATGGAGGCAGCAGCTCAGGGTTCAGCCTGTTTGGTCAGCTCTGTCTCTCTCCAGGAAGCCTAGCACGCCAAGCAACACAGCTCAGAAGACAACGATTATGTGCTCTGATACAGGTTGTATGTTACACACAGACTCAATCGCAGCTCATTATTTTACCCTTCCTTTCCTTTCTTGTTTTTGGTGCTGGGTTTAGAATCCATGGCTTCCTGCATGCTAGGGAAGTGCTTACCACTGAACTATAACCATAGCCCAGTAGCCCACTGTTGGGGTGGCCCCGACATTTTAATACAGAGTGATAAGAGGGGAAGGACCCGGGCAGTGTTTCAAGGACTGCCACACAGCAGGGTCTCCAGCCTCAGCACTCTGGGGTGGGGATAATCAGGCCTTGGCCATTCTTTGTCATGGGGATTGTCCTGTGTACTGCAGGGTGTCTAGCACTGTCTCTGGCCTGTGTACCAGATGCCAGCCCTGCAGCCCTGACAGCCCCTGGAGCCCATGTCTCCAGACACTGCCAAATGCTCCTGGGAGAGCAAAGCACCCCCAGTTCAGAACCACTGCACTCCACACCCCTGAATGCTGACAGCATCCAGCTCCTTAACCTTATCAGCCAAAAGGCTGCCCCACAAGCTTCCTGGCTAGAGGGGTGCTCTGTGCTCAGTTCACGACCCCTATTTCTTGTTTTATAGAGAAAAACCTCCTATCACTAATTTAGCAACTATTGGCTTCAATGGTAGGCAAGGAAAAAGGTGACTTTCTGCTCAGTCAGAAATTTTAGTGTGTGTGCTACAGCTGTATATTGGGGAAGCATCCAGTTTCTGAACAAATTCACCAAGAAATGTTGTCATTTAAAGTTGCATCTTAATCATCTCTGAAGTGCTCTATGCAAAATGGCAGCGACAGAGTGAAGGGGCCGGGCTACTACACATCCGGGATGGAAGCGAGCCAGCCACTCCTCACGCTCTCTTCAGAGCTAACACAAAAGGTACGCATCTTTTTTTCTCAATTTTTTTCAACTTCTTCTTAACCATATATAAAGTGAATTTCTGCTTTAAGATATGAATACTTATTTATCCATTTTTTCAATACCGGATTGAGCCCGGGGCCTTCAGACTGAGCTACACTCCAGCTTTTTTTTTTTTGTTTTTTTTTCCGGGACCGGGAATCGAACTCATGACCTCACGCTTGCCAGGCAGGCGCTGTGCCACTGAGCTAAATCCCCAGCCCCACTCCAGCTTTTTAAAAAATTTCAGTCAAGGTCTTGTTAAGTTGCCTAGGCTGGGCTCAAACTGGTGATCATCCAGGCTCAGCCTCCCAGAGAGCTGGGATGACAGGCGTGTGCCACCACACCTGGCTAGGATATGAATATTTTAAAGACAGTTGCCATCTTCATCTGTGTGACAGACTCAAAAAGCAGCATTCAACGCAGTCTATATTATACAAGCAAAGACAAGAGAGGCAGAGCGAAGAGGGGCTTCCTGTGAGAGGAGCTGCACCCCCATCTAGGGAGTGCTGGAGAACTTGTCTATACAGATGTGCCCGGCTGTAAGACACCAGTCAGACTAGTAGGGAATAGGGGATCTACTGAGAGCCCAAGGGAAACCACCTTCAAACATATCCTTTAAGATATGCAGGCCGCACAGCCTCTGGAAGCCTCCCTCCACTGCTGACAGACTCTCGCTCAGGCTACTGACATGATCAGTTTGCTGGGTACATCTTTTTTCACATCCACGGAGTACAAAGACAAACTTTAGCTAATCTTTGCAACAACTTTCTCAAATTTCAAATTAGTGACATTTGAATTAGTCTCACTTTATGCAAAACTTTCCAGGCAGGTGGAACTTCAGGCAGTGAGGGGCAGGGAATCTCATGAGAAAGGGTGATTCCGCCTCTGGGCTCCCTGGGTGCCTTTTACCGCTTGCTCCCAGGGTGTGACCTTGGGCAGATCCAGCCCGGGTGCGCCCTGCAGAGCCATCAGTGCACCCTTTCTCAAATGTGTCACGTCTTACAGCGGGGCACAGGTGCACAGCCCTCAGTCAGCCCCGAGCGTCGGGAGACACACACACTTACAGCCCCACAGTTGGGCATTTCGCAGATGAAGGCGCCCGAAGGCTGGCCAGGGGCCTGCAGGGACAGCCCCTCGGTGGGAGCCAGGACAGGCACTGGCGGAGGCTCCGGGGACTTCTGCACTTCGCTCTCCTCTTCTTTTGTGGATTTCCTATCTTCTTCCGGGTCCTCCTCTTCCTCCTCTAACTCTTCTTCCTCTTCACTCGTCTAATGTTAATAAAAGCAAGAATGGGGAAATCCCCAAAGAGCATTTTTAGTGGTGACAAAACTCTTAGGCTAGCAGAGGGGCTGGCAGTGGGGCTGTGTCACTTTCTTTCTGCCTAAGAACTCCTGACAGCCTGCTGGGCTCCATTTCTAAATAGTGGGTCTCTGATGCTTAGAATTTAAAGTCAAAGAAGTCTTCTTGCTGTACTTTTGGTCCCCTCATCCCTTGCATTTTTTTTCTTTTTCTTTTTTTTTGGTACCAGAAATTTTACTCAGGACCTTGTGCTTGCCAGGCAGATGGTTGTGCCACTGAGCTATATCCCCGACACTCATCCCTTGAATTAAAACAATGCTAAGGCAAAGAGGGGAGAGGTTTTGTTTTGTTTTTGTTCTGGAGATTTAGTTTTTACTTTGAGACAGGGTCTCACTAAGTCACTAAATTGCCCAGACTGGCCGGAACTTACGATCTTCCTGCTGCCTCAACCTCTCAGAATGCTTTTGCCCCAAGCCTGGCTAGAGGAGAGATTTTTGTAGATAGATTCTCTGCCTTCTTCAAGACCACTAGACCTTACAAGTGACTAAACCTTAGGTCGGCTGCTGGTTCCAGCAGTGTGTGTGTGTGTGTGTGTGTGTGTGCACACGTGCGCACATGTCTCAAACAGTGACACTACTGGGAGTCCCCTCTGGAGAGAAACCAGAGACACATAATGCTTTCTTCTGCAGGCCTTTTCTCCCCCCACCTCTACACACACACACACACACACACACACACACACACACACAGAGTCTATGTAGTTCAGGCTGGTCTTTTTTTTTGGGTATCAGGAATAGAACTCAGAACCTTGCGCTCGCCAGGCAGGCGCTTGTGCCACTGAGCTATATCCCCAGCCCCAGGCTGGCCTTGAACTCATGCCTCAACCTCTCAAGTGATGGGATTACAGGGGGTGCACCACCATGCTCAGATGGTTTAGAGGCTCAATAATAGGGCTGGGGATATAGCTCAGTGGCAAAGTGCCTACCTGGCAAGCGCAAGGTCCTGAGTTTGATTCCCAGTACTAAAAAAAAAAAAAAAAAAAAAAAGAAATAGAGGCTTAATGACATATTCCCAGGTGCAATCCCTGATGTGCCCCATGGTGTTAAGTTCCCACTCTGCTCTTCACAGGTGTTGGGGAAAGGAGGTAAAATGGAGGCGAGTTTCCCTTTCATGTGTCATATGCATTTTCTTTTGTCTCTGACCACAGGTTTGGAGAAAGCGTCTAGTTCATGTTTCCATATACTCACATCTCCTCCTAGAGGCATTTTGTAAAAAAGGACAAGAAACCCACTGTTCCCAGTGACTCTCTCCAAGGCGGAAAGGGAGCCCCGAGGAGAATGAAGCAGAAGGTCCCTCTCCCCCGAGGCTAATCCAGTGCAGGTGACAGGATGGAGCAGGGAGTGGGGCTGGGCCCGCGAGGACCAGTGCAGGATGCGACAGGCCTCACCTTACCTCCCTCAAGCCTTGAACTCTGTGCTCTCCTTGGGCACTGGCTGAGGCCGCTGCCTCCGCTAGCCCCAGGAAGGGCTGAGGACTGGAAGGGGATTCTAAGGATATTCTCTCCACTGCAGCTTGTACTTTATGTTTACAAAATGCTTTTTTGTAAACTTTATGTTTACAAAATGCTTTTTTGTAAACTTTATGTTTACAAAATGCTTTGAGGGGCATTCACCGAACAGTCTGTAAACAACCCTCCCATTTCACAAAGGGGCGAACACAAGCTGTAGCCACAGCCTCTGCCCTGACAGGTCACTCGTCTCTGGCAGGCCCTCTGTGCACCCCCACTCTCAGAGCAAGTCTGTGTCACCCTTCGTGTCCCTGAGTGAAGAACTGGGGAAGCAAATGATCCCTAGAACGCAGAAGTACCAATTTCTAAGAAGAACAAAGATTTCTGAGAGCAGTGGTACTCTGGGATCCAGAAACACAGGCTTCCGCTCCCATTCTGGTTTGGGGTGTATGGGTGAGAAAGACAATGCCAATCAATGTAGGGTACTCGGCACCTCGCACCGTTCTAGTGCCATCCGGCCATAATATCTTTTTTTTTTTCCTTTGGTACCAGGAATCTAACTCAAGACCTTGTGCTTGCCAGGCAGGCGCTGTGCCACTGAGCTATATCCTCAGCCCATTTACAATATCACACACATGTCTTTGAGATGATGTATTAGTAAGGCAGATTTAAGAAATGGTTCCAGTTTCCAGTAGGTTCATTAATATTAACTAGTAATGATCATATTTGCTGGAAGACTTCAGTGAATACTGATGAAGACCTAATCATTTTACAGAGTGGTGCATAATGTATGTGGCAGACTTCTCAGAGTATAGAACACATGGGCTGATTTCACTTCGATGGCTTTATCCCTGTAGGAATACACCATCTTTCAGACCAAGTGGTTCAGGCAAACTCCCAAGGTTTTTCCCATTTCTTTAAAAACTGGGACATGCCAGACATGTTGGCACATGCCAATAATCCCAGCACTTAGGAGGCTGAGGCAGAAGGATTACCATGAGTTCAAGGCCAGCTTGCACTACATAGGGAGATCCTATCTCAAAATTCAAAAACCAAAATAAAACAAAAAACTGGGATCTTGTAGTTTCAAATATTAAGTACACTAGGTTCGGGGATATTGCTCATTGGCACAGTGCCTGCCTGGCAAGCACAAGGTTCTGAGTTTGATTCCTGGTACAAAAAAAAAAAAAGAAAAAAAAATTTAAATGAAGACCATGTGTACAGTTTTGCACTTAAAATGAATTACTTAATTAAATTTAAATACAATGCTTTGTTTCATGGTACCTGTTATAATTTTCTCTCAATGCCATTCTTTGGGTTAAAAACTTAGAAGAAACATTTCCTGTACCCACGAAATTGTCGACTAAATTATTCTCTACTGTGACTATGTATGTCTCGGGAATTTAGATAGGTTTTATTTCAACTGGCAACCTATACACATTCACAAAATGATTTCTCATCAAGCCATATGGCTCACAAAATGACTAAGAGATACAAAGATAGGAGGACAAAAATCCTAACATGTAGAACTTTGTATCAACAAGTTGGCCATTTTATGATGTGTTGCAAAATGAAACGTTTAGTAATATTCCAAAATTGGTGCAAAGTGGATAAATAGAAGGCAGGGAGGAGGCTGTGTATTTAACACTGTGCCCAAACTTCCAGTGTCCACACAGACTTTTTTGAGGGGGGTGACATTTTTATTTCTCAGGCATGCAAATGTAACTCACACTATGAGAAACTAGGAAGTTAGAATGAACGTTTAACAACCCAAGCCTGCTCAAAGACAAATCTGAGTGTTACAGTCACTACCGATGACAAACAACAGTGTATAGGATAAACAGTATGAATGAGGCAACACATGCGCACCACCCTAGTTCTCACAAGGACCCTGTACAAGTGAGGAAACGGGCCAGAGAAAGTTTTCTCAAGGTCACATAGCTGGTAAAGAAGGTGACCTGACACTGAAACCCTGCCTAGTCTGATTCTAAAACTCTAGCCTTTTGCACTCCTTGGCCCTGTCCCAAACGCACTGGGATAACAGGGGTGCATCCCTATGCCTGCCTTCACCTGCCCTTTAATACGGCATTGAGGAACACGATCCGGAGAGCTGCCCCAGCTGACCTGGGCAGGCCCAGAGGACAGGCGACCTTTTCCTAGGACTGTGCCTTGTGCACTTTCCCAAATGTCCCAACATTCATCTTCACTGGGCAAACCGCTCAGCAGCTGACAGTGCACACAGTACCCAAGAGGAAGCAGGAGCTCCTGGCCGGCTGTCATCAATCGAAACTTCCTTGTTTCTGTCATCTCTGCACATAAGCTTCCTGCTTTCCCAAGCTCACAAGTGACAAGCGTGTGGATGCTCCTGATGCCACCCAGTGCTGGCTCCTGGACAGTGAGCCCAGAGGGTGTGGCCCTCAGCCAGCATCTTCACCTCCCCTGCTTTTTTTCGCTTTGTCTTTTTGAGACAGAGTTTCCCTATGCAGTTCAGGCTGGCCTTGAGCTCACTTTGTAGCCCAGGCTGGTCTCAAACTTGCAATAGCCCTCTCAGCTTTCCAAGTGCTGGGATTATAGGTGTGTGTCACCACGCCTGGCTAGTCTAGGCCTTTCTGAAACCCACCAACCAAGATGGTGTCTTTGCCCACGTGACAGCATCTCCCTAGTGGCCTCCTGTTCTGCATTCCCTGTTTGTTCCATCTCTTCCCAGTGAGTTCAGAGATGGGATGCTCCCATGAACCAGACTGACCCCCAGCTCAGAAAAATGTTCACCCGCTCATGAGCAGACATTGGCAGTGTTGTGCCAGGCACTGTCCTAGGCACTCAGCGATACCCAGGCCAGAGAGGTACAAAATGACCTTAGACCACATCTTCCCTTCTTGCCCTTTTGCACGCATGGCACAGACAGGGCCAGAGCATTCGGAACTGGGAGGGGCTTTCTGAATCATTAAAGTTAACTACCCTGCTGTACAGTTCAGCAAGCCCAGGAGCATGGTGCTAGGCTCCAAGGACAGATTCTCGGTGGTTCCTCCTCCACTGCCTGATCTACTCACCTGCCCAGCAAGGCTCTGTGAGCCCAGGCAAGCCCTGCCCCTCTCTGGGCCTCAGTCTGCTGCTTGCGAAATGGTGGAACTGGTGAGTGTCCCTCAGGCTGTCTTTAAGACTTCCTGGTTTTCATACTGCTCTTAAATGCTCTTGGAGTTCACGGTAAACTTGCCACTTGAACGTGTCACACTGTCCTAACTAGATATACCCTCTGTGTGGTAGAGGCCACTTCACGTCCTTGCTGTTTATATCCATTACAAAACGCTGTTTACATTGTGGGAACTCAAGTGCTTTTAGCTGACTGAACCAAAGGGGGTTCTTTTAAACATCGGATCAACCATGAGCAAAAGGCGGTTCTGATATAAGTTGTCGATACTTACACCAAACAGAAGCTCTGGTCACAGGTCATCCTGAATATTCTAACGGGCTCAAATATAAAGTATATTTGTGTATATGTCACAGCTAGGATTGATGCTTAGCTAAGAGCTTAGGCTCTGAGGCACTAAAAAGTCTACGTGTTTTTATACTTTCTAAGAGAATTTGCATTCTGGATTGCTCTTAAGTGTAATACGAGGGAATCAGGCTCAGGCAGCACACTCCCCAGCTGTGACTGTGGCCAGCTTACTTAGGCTATGTCTCAGTTTCCTACTTCAGGGAATTGGTATTCAATTAATTATACTGGATTAGATGAGTCAATATTTATAAACTGCCCAGACAAGGCCTGGCACTTAGAAAGTACTACTTAAGTATCTGCTAAAGAAAATAACTTATACGTGCTAACATCACTCAGGGAATGAAGCTATAAATGCAAATATTCATGAATGTGAACCCTTCTGTATGTGGTGACAAAGGCTAGAGTTTAGTAAGTTGTCGCAAGACATGATGTCCACATACACATCCATAATGTTTCTCACAAAGTGTGACTAGGAGATTTCTCCTGGCTATGGATACAGAAAGGAGAAAGAGTTTACAAGGAATCACAAGTGACAATAATTACCAAAGCCATGCACGTGGGACTATCAGAGACTGTTTCTACCTTAGGGCTTTAGTGTGTACTTCATAGGTGGGTGACTTGGGACTGTCTGCTGCCAGAGGAAGTCAAGGCAGGGGCTGCCTGGGGATGCAGGTACTGGGGTCATCTGCATGCCGTTCACCAACACCTCAGTGACTGAGCTCCTCCTGCTCAAGTTTTAGAGAGGCTTAGAAACCCTAGGGTGCCAGGTGTGGTGGTACATGCCTGTAATCCCAGCACTCGGGAGGCTGAGGCAGGAGGATTGCCATGAGTTCAAGGCCAGCCTGGGCTATAAAGCAAGACCCTGCCTCAAAAGAAAAAAAAAGAAAAGAAACCCTAGGGTGCCACCATCTTTCTAAGGAATGTCACGGTCACCAGAATCAGTGATGTGGGAAGATCAAGAAGGAACACTGTAAGGGTCAGGTCACCTGCTTAAAAATCAATCAAGTGGAGCCCGGGACAATCCTCACTCTCCTGGCTCCTATCTGCTGGCTGTCATGTGTGTCACTAAAAACTGCTCCTTAACCTGAGGACGCCTTCCCTCCATCTGCAACTCAAAGTCAAGTCTTGAGTCCCATGGGGACCAGGACTTCAGTCTTCCTCACACTGGTGACCTGGCTATCTCTGGCAAAGCCAAACCAAACACCAGCCAATCACTACCCTGGGGGTAGGGTGGGGATGGAGCCAGCATAAACACGAACTCAGAGGCTTCGCTCACCATGCAGTCTTCAATGATTTCTGCCAGGCGTGTCCGGTGTTTTCGCCCTAACCGCATTATCTTCTTCCATGTGTAGTAGTACTCCACGCACTGAGCCACTGTCTTCGACTTCACCTGCAGGAGAGGAGGCAGGATTAGTTCTGGCAGTAGGCAGAGAGCAAGCTTTTTGGGATATTTAATTGTGCAACAGGGATAGTAGGTTTCTTTGTGGATCCCTGTAAACTGTCTCTGTTCAGTAAAAAAGGGATACGATGAAAAGCCTCCCTCTCACCTTGCTCTCACCCCTCATAGCTCCACCTATTAATTTTTTGGGTATCATTCCTAAATTTTTTTTTCTTTGTGGTACTGGGAATTAAACCCAGCATCTTTGCATGGAACTACATCCCCAGGTCTTTTTTGAGACAGGGTCTCACTAAACTGCTAAATTGCCTGGGTTGGACTTGAATTTGCAATTTTCCTGCCTCAGCTTCCCAAGTGCTGGATTATAGGTGTGCACTGCCACACCCAGCTGCAGAATTTTAGGCAGGTACGGCATGTTTAAGTCTCTACTTTTCCTCACACCATTTTTCTTCACAAGCTGCAGCAAGTACATGATAGTTTTGCAACTTTATTTTTTTTCATGATTGAGCTGGAGTTTTGTTTGTCATCAACCCACAGAGAGCTTACTCAGTTTTTAATCCCATCAAGCAGATGCCTTTTCATTTGTTGGGTCTGAGTGTGCTTAGCTCTTTCACTTGACTTACAGAATCAGTTTATGAGCAACGCTCCTTAGTAATAGAACAGGTAACATCTACGGTGACAGGGCTTACTTAGTTTTTGCAGGAAACCAGTCTTGCCTTTTTCACCCCCGAAGAGGCAAAGACAGCACTTCAGAAGTGTTTCAGACTTGAGGTATTTTTGGGTTTTGGACTACCTATATAGACTTTACTGGCTAAGTATCTTAATCTGAAAAGCTCGAAAGTCTGGAGAATTTTGGATTTTAGACTTTTGGGTTAGGGATGTACATTCCTTTGTTTAGTTCCTGTAGCTCTCTGCTCAGGAGAGGTTTCTAGAGGTTCCCTGGGGATGGGAACATGGCCATCTTCATGGCAAGATGAGAAGGGACCCACCAGAAGTCCTGCCCAATGCCTGGAATCTATACTAGATTTACCCCAGGAGTGAGGACACTGCCCAGAATGTCCTTACTCTCATAACTGCACTGCTCGCAACGTGAGTTCATAATGGTCACCAGGTATGGGGCCTTCAGGCAATGAGGCAGGGACCAGGCGGTTGGATGTGGTTTGTCCTCCAAGGGTCCCTAAGGGGTGGTGGAACTGGATGGTGGAACTACAAGGGCTGGAGCCCTCACAAGCTGGGGCTCAGTGGGGGATCTTCAGGTCACTGAGGGTGCTTCCCTAGGAGACTAATGTGGCTCTCCAAAGAGCAGGTTGTTACAAGAGTGCCAGGTCCCTGAAGAGCTCTGTCTCAGGACACAACATCTCACTTCTGCATATGCTCCCGCCATGCCATCTGCCACTGGACCCCCATCAAAGGCTGTTGCAAAGGCTGCCTGGCCTTGGACTTTTAGCCCCCAAACTCTGAGCCAAAGAAACCTTTTTTCTTTATAAAGCTACCGCCCTTGGGGTATTATAGTATACTAATGAAAGGCTGACTAAGATATCAGGTTGAGCCTAGGGAAAAGGTGAGACAAGAAAGGTCAGAGCTGCGAGGTGTGGGGGCCACAGAAGCATGGAAAGGCAAGAGCAGAGGCAGGGCTAAAGGTGGAGGCAAGTCAGAGACAAATCCACTGATTTCTGATGCTCATCCAGGCGAGGCTTTGGATTAGCAGCAGCAGGAGACACACCACCCTGGGACATCACTGGGGACCAACCAGTTGCCATGGGACCTGTCACCATGCTCTGTTCTTCACATACTTGCACATTCTGAATTATCCTTCAGATGATGGCACCATCACTCATCAGCTTGGTGAGGTATTCTGAATATTTAACTTTTTAGCCTATACCACTTCTCAGCCAATTAAAGCCTATTAATATTATTTGTTGTACAAAGTATGGCTTCATCTATGGGAAAGTTTTACTTTGCAGCAAAATGCTACACACATAAGGTATTATTTATATTATTACTCTCATTGTGATGAGGGGCTTAATTCCAGAAACTTCACTATAGGACAGAGGGAGGTGATGTGTCCTCCCCTCCACAATTTCCCAGAAAAGTTCTGTCAAAAACATGATAGATCTGTCAAATATACATGATATAAATTATGCAAATTATGAACTAGAAGCCCCAGCTATAGCTATTCTAAAGCTCTAGTTATTTCGACAGAATTATGAATTATGCATTTTTATTAAGATAGAAACCCCCAACACTATAGCATCCAAATAATCTATGTCCTTTCCCTCTCTTTTTGTTTCCCCCTACACCCAGACACTGGGCCCACCCCCTACAGCAACTACAACCCTGCACCAGTGAGGGCAGAGTCAGCCTTTTGATCAGGATGTTAAACCAAGTACCAAGAGTTTTTTGAGTTTTTCTAGATATACAATTTTTCAAATTTAACTTCAAGTGAGCAATGGGAGAAGTTATACTTACCATCTTCTGTACAAAAATAAAGTCTTTGTTGTAAGTGGCTAGTGCTTTATTAAACAGTTTTCTTTCTAGGGAGGTCCACTTGTCTGAACCTACAACAAAACACAGACTTCGTAAGAACAGCTCCCATTTCTCCCCACACCTAACTGCTGGTTTGTTTAGTTAAAGCCACAAAACACGACTGCCTAGCAAGTGATGGAAGGGAACTCGGGTACACAACTGTCTAGCAAGTGATGGAAGGGAACTCAGATAAGGAACTAGCAGGTGCAAAGAAACAAGACAGAGATAATGCCATTCACTTGCTCATTCACTAAACACATTCTCACTAGCTGCCTACTACAAGCAAGAGCGACGCCAGGGAAGCGCTGACATTTTAAGTGCTTCCTACACATCACACTCAAAATGCTTTACAGTTATTAATCATTAGGCTCTACTAACAACCTTGTAAGATCAGTACTTCTAGCATCCCATTTTACAGTGAACGGAGGTCTTCCAAGAACAAAGTCCAGTACGGCTCTGTTGTAGGGTTCCAGCAGAGGGATGCAAATGAGGTTGGAAAAGCATTCTTCTTGCCACCCTCCTGCCCCAACTCTGAAGATTCAGCCCAGGGCTCTTATACTGAGAAACAATCTCATTTCTTTGCAATTTACCTTCTTATTCTGGAACAAGGTCTTACTAAGTTGGTAAATTGCCTGGGTAGGCTTGAATTTTGTGATCCTCCTGCCTCAGCTTTGTAAAGTGCTGGGTTTACAGGCATGCTTGGCTGGCATCAGATTTTAACAGAGGTGAAGACTGATGAGGGGAGAAGTTCTGCACTGCTGGACGGTGTATCTACCCTGCTGGTGAAACTTGATTCATGTGTTTTCCCTCTATAGGAGGAAGCAGGACACACAGAAGACATACCAAATGACAGGGCTTGTACGGAGCAAGACACATCTGCATCTAAAGGGCACCTATAATTGGGATATGATCTGAGCGGATCCTCTTAGCGCTCATGTATTGGAAGTACAGTCCTCAATGTAGCAATGTTAAGAAGTGAAAAAACCTTTAAGAGATGGGGCCCATTCGGACATCATGCTGCCCCTCCCCAGTCACTCTCTGGCTTCCTGTCACCTCTGCTCTCTCCCTTTTGCATTTGCTCCCATCAGAATGCCACCTGCCATGTTGTGATGCAGCCAGAGGTTCCTGCCAGAGGCCAGCTCACTCAGTGGGGCATACGGGCTCTGGCCTCCCAAACTATGAACTATGTAAACTTCTCTTTATAAAGCCCCAGGCCTCTGCTATTTCATTATAGCAACATAAAACTAGTATGGGGCTCCTATTTCAGGGAGTACTAGGCAAGGTTCAGCTACTGTGGGCTCAGAAATCTTAGTTCCACTTTTCTAGCTTGCCGAACTCTGCACATCTGATCCCTCAGCACATGGCCAGGTCTTGGCATTCATCTACTTCTCCGAGACTGAGGCCCCTGATCCACAGCATCTTCGCTTCTCTCCAGGGCAGGTCTGAGGTTTCCATTTTGCTATGGTCAGATGATGGGGTTAAAGTACAGGGAACCTAAATGGCTCTTCCCTTGGAAGATTCAGCCAAACATCAGTGAATCAGGTGAAATCTCTCTGGGCAGGGAGAGGGCTCCTAAGGCTATGGGTAGACATCCTAGCATCCTTGAGGGACTATGTAGTTCAGTGATATAAACTCAGGTTTCTGAAATAAACAGCTTTTCTATGTGTCTTTTTGTTGGGTCCTCAAGCCAAGGGCTCTGGTCTGCGACTCAAAATATAATATAGTTTCCATAGGGGACTGGTTCAAACCTCTAAAAATCCAATGCAATTACTCGATTTCTTTGGTTTACCAGTTTATCTTTTTTTCTTTTAATCTTTTTTATTTTCAGAAGAAATGAAGCTTTGCAGAGAATCCACAGCAGAAGGAAGCATCTTCCACAAGTTTTGGAGGCCTGGCCTCTGGATGAGCAAACCACAGCAGAAGGGATGAGGGGCTGGGAGTTTGGAGTGGCCCCCAGTTATAGCTCAGATGGGACATCCTGAGACACTGTGTGACGAAAAGCTTCAACTAGATCAGTAAGAATTCTTTCCAACCTTTGCCGGACCGTTAGCCTCCTGTATTGGCACACCTCTATAGGAGTACCCAGTTTGCTCAGGCCAACACTGTCTCTGTGGTGAATACGCTTCCTTCCAACCATGCCAGGCTTGCCACCTGACTGCTGGCCCAAAGATCAGCTTGGTCAAGCTCTCAGATCTGCCAACTTCAGGCAGGCACAGCCCCTTATCATTTCCATGTGGCTTGCCCGCCGTAACCCCACAGAAGTGAAGTAACTTGCTGGCCTCGCTGTCTGGGAGATCCCCAAATCTCATGAGGGAAGGAGACTTGCAGTGGTGTTGGGGCTGCTGCTCTGTGATGGGATCTTCCCCTTCCCAGGGTGTGTTCTGTGCACAAGTGCAGAGGAGTGGGCTGCAATTCCCCTTCCACTCTGTGCCATCGTCTCCCTCTGAGGTTGCAGGGCCCGGGGCATGGAGCTTGCCACCGAGAGGAAGAGCTGGCTCTCTGAGGAGTCCTGCGATCTGTGCTTTAGTGTAAGCGACAGTGCTTTGTCCAGGTGTGTCCAACAGAGTCCGTGGAGTGAAGGGCAGAGGCCAGGTGAGACGCCAGATCCCTTTTCACTCAACCTGGAGCTGGCCTCCTGTCTCGGGTGGCCCATAGGGGCAGAGACTGCACCCCTGGGCTGCTGGACTGAATTCCCAGGCTGGACCCTAGCCTAGATTCACTCAGTGTGCCCTCCCACTGTACTGTGATAAATAATACCACTGTACTGTGATAAAAAGGGTGTCAGTCAGGCGACCTTAGGTTGTGAATGTGGTTCTCGCATTTACTCCTCCTGTGACTGCAGGCAAGTCACCTCTGTGACACAGGGATGGTGGCTCAACAGATGCTCTGGACCTTTGCTGGCCACTTGGACAGCCAATTCCAAATCAGTCCAGGACTTTGGACCACACAGTGCCCCTCTGGTGTGAGCCCAGCGGCCCCTGCGAAGCCAGCTGGTTCCCGCACCTGCTTTCTATGTGTCAATCCCACAGCAACTCCCATGGCCTGGAATCCAACGCCAAGGAAAGGCTCAGGCAGCTCCTTCCTGGAGTCTGTCAGACAGGGCACTCACTTTTCTCATTCTCAGACAAGCTTCTATGCCCGCTCTTGGATTCCGCATCTTGGACAAAATCCAAGATAAAATGCAAAACCGAGGCAGGGGGCTGATGCAAATCCTCCCCTCTCCTTCTGTCCTCCCTCTGCCCTTCCTTTCTGGGTAAGATCCCTGCTGCCCACTCAGCAGGCATGCGGGCCAGTGGGCTGACATCCCCCCAGCCTCATTTGTTCCACCTGGGATTCCTGGCTATTGGGCTATTATCAGCAGGGGCCCCGAACAAGCCGATTAAGGCTAATGACAAAGAGCCTAATTAACTGGATGAAACTGGTGCTGGAACAGTATCCAGAGGAAAAATGCTCTGTGCTTCGGTTGCTGGGAAACAGGCTCTGGACTGTGGCTAATTCTGGGGCAATCTACAGTGAACTCAAGCAATTAAAAAGAGACGTAGAAGGGGGACAGAAAGTTTGGGCACAGTATCCTTCAGAAGGCCTTTTTGTGTTCCTCTCAGAATGAAAAAAAAAACTTTTATTAATGTTATTGTTGTAGTTACCCCAGAAAGACAGGCTCATTACAGAAAAAGGAGGGCTGTTTCTGTGCCAGATCTTCATTTACACAGAGGGTTTTCCAGAGTGGGTGAAGAATAATCCTTTTGGAGGTGCAGGGTGAAACAGCTTGCTGCTACAGTGACCTCTGGGGCAAAAATGAGGGAGACCTCAATCTAAATTCGTATTTTGAACTTGTCCAGTAAACTTTTTCTTTTCTTTTTTTTTAAAAAAAGCTGTGTCAGGTAGGCAAGAGAGCAGTGTCTAGCTGAAGACAGGGGTAAAGAGTGACTGGAAAGTGAAATCACAGCTATGCTTCTTGCCAAATCCTCTCCCGAGTACGTACCTCTGTCTCATCACATCGGGGCAGCTTCCAAGGCAAGGACCAGGCCTCCCCCATGGAATGGGTGCTTCCTCCAGGGTCCCCTCAGCTCTTGGAGCTCAGGGCAGCATTTCAGAACACACTGAGAGCCTTGGCTGAGGTGGGAGCTGACAGCAATTTCTGCTGAACCGCTGCCAAGTAATCACAGCCAAATCTAACACCCCTCTCTCTGTACCCACCTGCAGAATGACCAGTTCAGTGGAGAAACCGAGGTTGCTGAAAGTCATCCAATCATAAGGAGGCATGTCCCCACCCTGACCACCCCTGCTCTACCCTTCCCCAGCCAATGCAGGTGCAAGCTGGGAACCACTGCAGGCAACCGCCAGCCACACTGGGGCGGAGCAAACTGAATGCCAGGGGCCACCCAGGCAGTACCCTTCTCTGAGGATCTTGTACAGGGATCACAGGGCTGGGGCAAACAGCTCTAAGACGTGGAAGTTGCCAGGCACTAGTCCTTTACCCCCCACCCCCTCCAGCATGTCTCTTATGGCTCTCAACATGGGTCACTTTCCTTTTTCTATGGAATTGCTTCAGGCGGAGTGGGAAGAGATCATGAGTAAAGGAAGGAAGTGGTTTCCAGAGTCCCGTGTCTCTTCTCCACCACACTTCAGGCCCCTCCCTGAGCCCAGTCTACTGCTTTCCCTCCAGGGCAGATATCCCCAGCAGACAGGGCTTCTTTTTCTAGACAATTAGCAGCATAAGGTAATATCCTAGGGCCATGAGGTGGGGTGACACCAGCCACAGCCAGAGTGGGAAGCCCAAGGCATTCCAGAAGACACATCGCAGTGAGGCTGTTACTGAGTGGATGGTCCTACTGGAGTGCCTGGTGGACCTTGGCACAGAGACCAAGGCAGGCTGGGGCCACAACAGGTGGGATTCACTGACACCCAGGATCCTAACAAGGGGGGCCTGAGACAAGCACTAGGGTAGACTCTGCTGCCTCCCCTGTGGTTTGGAGGGGATTTGCTAAGAGCATGAAGTTGGGTCAGACTTTAGAGAACAGTGACCTCTGCCCTTTCTGTTCGTAATTCTAGAAGATTCTCTGGAACCTTGTCTGCACTCACTTCCCTGGAGAAGGGAAAGTGATTGAAAGATGTAAATAAGCATTCTTTTCCTACAGGTGCTAATTCTTCACACCTCAGTTCCACCTCTCATTCCCCAGGGCTGAAATGTTTCCAGAAAGCAAGAGTTTCCTGGTCTGCCTGGGAAGAAAAGGGCAGGTGATGTTAGCTAGGACCCGAACCTCAAAGGACCAATACACTTTTTAAAAAAATTTTTTTGGTCTTTTTGAGACAGGGTCTCGCTATGCAGTTCAGGCTGGTCTTGAGCTCACTTTGTAGCCCAGGGTGGTCTCGAACTCACAATGATCCTCCTGCTTCAGCCTCCCGAGTGCTGGGATTACACGTGTGCACCACCACACCCGGGCAATTCACTTTTTACTGTTTTTTGACGGAGGATCTCGCGATCCTCCTGACTCAGCCTCCTGAGTGCTGGTATTACAGGCAAGCACCACCATGCCTGGCCAATTTACTTTAGCAGAGTTTAGGATCCTCTAGTTAAAAGTTCTTGGTAATATACTAGTGTTTTTGTTTTGTTTTGTAGAGTTGTACAGGGCTTCTAGTCCATAGCTCTCCAGCCCTTTTCATGTTATAATGCATATAAAAACAATCTACTTGTTTGGCACAATAGAAGAACTAAGGGAAACTGTGTCCCAGATGAAGCCGCTCACAGCTGGATGCGACCAACCCCAAGGTTGGCCACCCCAGCCATCCCATCTCATAGGCCTTGGTTGCAAAGTTGTTTTTCGCCAGCCCACTGTCCCACCTACTATGCAGAGAAGCTTGGGATGGGGAACAGCAAGCTGGACAGCTGGTCAGATTTAATGGGCAGCAGATGATGCTGAGAATTAAGAGAGGATGCAACTGTTTCCATTAAATATTAGAGAGAGCTCCCACATCTTCTGTCCACTTTTGGAACAGATGCAAGCAGCAAATGATGGAGATAACACATTGCGAAACTGGCTCTTTTAGGCCACTGGTCCAAAGATTGATTTTTTTATTCCACTGTCCATTCTGTGCTTGCCTAGTTCTAGTTACTGAGTGACAGATAGATAGCCCTGGGCATGCTATGCTTGGTGAGTGGCTTCAAGGCCTTTCTACCTGGCGGTCACAGGTAGAAAAGCCGACTTATGAATAAAGAGGAGCACGCTGAACAAGGCAAGCAGTGAACTCTCCAGGCTCTGCAAAGATGCTGTCACCTTTGGCCACATCTAGTCACCTAGATAAGGAGCAGATCCAGCATCTACCCAGGCAGCGTCTGCCCAAGGCACCAAAGAAACCTTCCAATGATTAAAAGTCAAGGGGCACTGGAGGATTCAGCTCCTCTGAAACAGAATCCAGCAAGGCTGTAGAGACCTCAGAATGGACAGGCTCAGCAGAGGTAATAGAAATGAAACAGTGACCTCAGCTTCATTTGTTCCTTCACAGGGCTCCTCAGCTTGCTTCCTTCTCTCCTCGCGCTTCTCACTCCATTCAAACCTCAAAGGTGCCTTCCACTTCCCTCGTACTGGTAGTGCTATCATAATCCACATGCTCACCAGACGCTCATGTATGAAGTCTTTCTGCTGATCTCAGAATGAGTCACTATTGAGCTGGGCGTGGTGGCGCACACCTGTAATCCCAGCACTTGGGAAGCTGAGGCAGAGGATCATTGTGAATTTGAGACCAGCCTGGGCTACAAAGTGAGCTCAAGGTCAGTCTAAACTGTATAGCGAGACCTTGTCTCAAAAAGACCAAAAAAAAAGTCGTTGTTTAATAACTGCCTCTCTATACTCCAAGCTGCAGGCAGGATGCTGTCTATACTGTCATAGCCACTGCTGCAGCTCAGTGGTAAAGTACTTGCCTTATGTACACAGTCACGACTAAATAGATGATTAACAATGGCCAGCAGGCTGTGCCAGGCATCAGGTGCCACGCAGTACCTATCCTCTTCACAATATGCCTACAAGGGATGCCATACAAGCCTTATTTTACAGTGAAAAAAAAAAAAAAATCAAGGCTACAGAAGGCCAAGGGGTGTAGTCAAGACCCAAACCCACCTCTACGGATGCCAAAGACAAGGGAAGTGCTCATTGCTGTCACTCCATGTTGTACCCTGCTGTACTCTCTGTGCCCTTCCCTCCAGTGCCCAGGTCTTACCACCACTTACCCAGGCACCATCTACTATCACCCAGCCTCAGCACACTCTCGAAGGCAGGAGCTCGCCAGACAAACGCCCAACAGTGGTGGGGCAACAGACACGAAAGCACCCACTAGCTATGCGCTGTAAGGCCTTGGTCAGAAGTGATGATTAGGATGGAACCAGTGCTGTCTGTTATTGAGGAGGAACACAACCAGACACGCAAGCAGCCCGCTCTCAGGAAGTAACAGGGCACAGGCCTCTTGGCAACTTACCGGCATAGTGGTAATTTGCTAAAGGATGACCTTTTAACCTGACTGGCTTCTCCAGCAGCAGCATTTCCAGAGTTGCCTATAGATCCAGAAGAGAGAAAAGCAAGCATCAGTAAGAGGTCTGTGTGTCCTAGGGAGATCATCTATCTAAAGGAGAAATCCTGGGGGCTCAGGCACTGGAAAGAATGCCAGAAGGAGGCCACCCTAATTTAGACTTCCTTTCAGTTCAGCACACCCTCCCTAGCTCATGCCTGAAGCAACTTGGTTGTGTCAGTGAAAAACACAGATGGTGACTGAGACCTAACTCCTTGTAATGGTTAATCTTGACTGTCAACTTCATCGGATGGAGAAATGCCTAAGGAAGTAGTAAGGGGAACTTCTGGTTGTGTCTGTGAGGGTGTTCCCAGAGATGATTGCTATGTGGGACAGCAAATGTATGGGGAAGACTTGCTTAAATGTGGGTGGCACCATCCAATAGGGTGAGGGCCTGGGAGGAAGAACAGCAGAAAGAGGAAGCACACAGCACAGGCTCTCTGGCTCCTCCTTTCTCTACTTCCAGTCACCATGAAGCGAGCACCTTCACCCTGCTACACTCTTCTGCCATCATCTTCTGCCTTATCACAGGCCAGACACTCTGCAGTCAGTCGGCCAGGGCCTGGCACCTCAAACTGAGCCAAAATAAATCTTTTCTTCTTTAGGTTTGTTCAGCTATTTTGTCGCACACTCCTGCCTTGATGAGGGCCCACCAGTCACAAAGAGAGAGGTGGGGCCTCCTTTGAGTGGAGGCTGAATCTCTGGGGAAGGAATCCAAGGAGTGAGTGGGTGATTTGTAACTGTTGTACAGAAAAATTATGTCTCATTACAAGTGAACATAAACAACTGTGTTAGTAGTAACTGCACCACACCCTGTCCTTCCACATAACCTCAGCAAATTAACCCTTTCAAACATGACTCCTTCAGCCACCCTGGATTTTTAAAAAAAGTGCTGCAGACAGAGTTGAGCAGTGATTGTTTAGAGACAGAGCAAGGTCAAGAACCTAATCTTACTATTTCAAGTGTGGTCCATAGACTTGTGGAGCAGCATCCTCTGGGAGCCAATAAGAAAAGCAGATTCTTGGCCCCACCCACATCTGCTCTATCAGAAGAAGCCTTTTAAGAAGATCCCCTAGCTGACTGCGTGCACATTAAAAGTTTGAGAAGTGCTATTCTGCAACACTGATCTCCAAGGGTTAAGAGAAGTTCTGTAACACTCTAGACAATACTTGAAGGATACTGAAGTGTTGGGGCGATTGTTTATTTTCACAAAATCTAAAAGCAGGAAGCCGGATCTAGTACCACGAAGAATCATGGATTTGCATAAGGGAAACTGAGCTTAGCGATGCAGTGATCTGGCCAGAAGTCCAGGCTAAGCGGGCAGATGGTCAGCTGTGGTTCTTGGAAGATGGTACCAAGGCTCTGGTTTGGGGACATGTGCAGAACTGTGTTAAAATGGAGCCAGTGGTGTACACTAAACACTTCATTTGCGTTAGAAGAGTTCTATAAACATCCAGCTGTGGCTTATTTCCATAGCGGGGCAGACCATTAGCAGTGTGCCAGGCTGCTTTAGGCCAATTCTTGTTTCAGGAAAGCCTTCTGCCTCCATGACTGGAAACTCAGTTTTCTGATGTGAAATACAGGACAGAAGAAAAAGAACCAATTTCCTAGGACAGGTATTTCCACAGTTATAACTGAAGATGAGATGGGTAAAGAGGAGTTCAACCGGAGATGCTTTTCTGTGCTGTGAAGTCTTGACCTACTCACCGAAATGAGGAACGAACATGGCAGGTGCTGACCAGCCACAGACTTTAGGAATTGGATGCACAGTGTATGGGATGGAGCAGAAACTGGGAAACACTGCACCAGATTCCGGTGTGAACAGTACGGACCCCACCACGAAGCCTCCTTTTCACAGTCCTTACCATCACATCACCTCTGGCCTCAAAGAGAGAGTGCAAGGCAAATTCAGAATTGGTTCCTCCACCTGGCAATGCACTTGAACAGCACAAATTTAGAAGATTCTCCACTGTTGGGAACAAGCAGAAGCCAATGCATCAGAGAGAGAGCTCAATATAATGGAAAACAGCACTAGTCCTGGAGCCAGAGATCTCACGGAGAGAAGCAAGCCTTGCCCACTTGCCCAGCATCTCCCATGTGCTAATACCTTGTTGCTGGAGCTCTTGATTTTCCAGCTCTGGTAAGGGTTTCCATACTAGTGTGGCTTTGTGTATGTCCTGGGCCAGGGCAGAGACATCCTGGAGTTCTGGGATCTCGGCTTGGAATCTCAAGCCAATGTTAATGCGTCTTTAAAACAAAAAGAAAAATAATTGAGTGGTCTTCAATTTGATTGCCTAGGGCAAGGGCAACTGTCAGGAACTTGCAAAAGGAGAAAACTAGTTTCTTCTGCAAGAAGAACACAGCGGCATTTCCTCATAATGTGACCCTAAGATTCCAGGCACATGCTTTTCACTGAGATAAGGAACAACTCTCTAAGGCTGGGAGAATGTTGTGGGGAGCAGCTTGCTTGGGCCTTCATATTCCCTGTAAGTGGTATGGACAGATGGTTAATTCTAAAACAACAGCTGTTCAGCCAGCTGGGGATGGTGGCGCACACCTGTAATCCCAGTACTTGGGAGGCTGAGGCAGGAGGATCGCTCTGAATTTGAGGCCATCCTGGGCTACAAAGTGAGCTCAAGGTGAGCCTGAACTGCATAGTGAGATCCTGTCTCAAAAAGACAAAAAAACCTCCCCAACCCCCTCCAAAAAACAAAACAAAAACCACCTATTCAGAGCATGGCCCACGTTACCATGTAAGGGGGGGGAGCAGATATGAAGTGCTTATTTTTATCCTTTCACATACATTATCCTATCTGAGTTTCTCAAAGATCTGTGATGTAAAGAAGGCAGCAAATTATTCCCATTTAATAGAAGTCAACCAAAGTCCAGAAAGGTTAACTCAATATAGATTACAAAAATAAGATGGTTTTATAACTCAGGTCTTCTGATTCCCACCCCACCTTTTTTTTTCCAGGCACAGTCTCACTATGTAGTTCACAGTGACCTCTAGCTTGCAGTAATACTCCTGCCTCAGCCTTCCAAGGGCTGGGGTTACAGGTATGTACCACCATTCTTGGACTGGTTTTCTGATTCCTGAATCAGTACACTCAGCACTTTGCCACACAGCTCTTTTCTGTTCTTCTTCATGAAAAGAACCACTTTTCCCTTCCAAAACACAGCAGTGACTCCTTATCTGCAGTTTTGCTTTCTATGGCTTCAGTTATCTATGGTCAAATGAGGTCCAGCTGGCCATGGTGGCACACGCCTATAATCCCAGAACTTAGTAGACAAAGGCAGGAGGATCACTGGGAGTTCAAGGCCAGCCTGGGCTACACAGTGAGCTCAAGGTCAGCCTCAACTACACAGTGAGACCCTGCTTCGAAAAAAACAAAACCACAAAAATGAGGTCCAAAAATATTAAATGGAAAGCTCCAGAAAGAAATAATTCATATATCTTAAATTGCATGCCATTCTGGGTAACATAATGAAATCTCAGGTGAACCTGTTCCGTCCCCCACAGGTGGGAATCATTCCTCTGTCCAAAGTATCCACACTGTATATGATACCCATCTGTTATCACTTGGTGGCTCTCTTGGCTATCAGGTGAGACTATGGGAGCATTGCCATTGTGTGCTTGTATACAGGTTTGACACTACTGGAGGTTCTAGGTTTCCACTGAAGGTCTTGAACACACCCCCCACAGAAAAAGGGGACTACTGTCCCTCCCATTACTCACACAAAATTCAAGGAAGACTGGCCAAGAATCTGACAGAGTGGATGGGATGGGCAATTTTTTGTTTGTTTGTTTGTTTTGAGACAGGTCTTGCTGTGTAGTCCAGGCTGGTTTGAACTCTTGAAGATCATCCTGCCTCAGCGTCCCAAGTGCTGAGATTACAGACGTGTGCCACCATGCCCAGTGAGGAGCCTCTTAGAGCTGGGCAACCTGAGAGAGATGCCTCAATGCCACTAGGGGTGTGAAAGCACATGGCCCATTCAGGCTGGCCTGTGGGACATGAGAAGTGGATGCTAGGTTCTCTGCATCCAGGGTTTTTACTCTGTATTTAGACTTTGGCCAAGACTTTGAAATAGAAAACACAGAGGGAAATAAAAGTATTCAAAAAAACATGGTTAACCTACAATTTTTACAATTTCTCTCTCAGTGACCACTATGACTAAGAGAATGGACTGCCTTTCTCAAAGCTCCTGATCCCATCCTCTGTGAAGCATTGGTCCTAAAGAATAACTGGCTTTTTTCCTTACGGTTCAACATCCACAGTCTGTTCTCCGGGCCCTGGGGTGACCGTCATGTTGTTGCCATCAATGCTGTCTGAAACACAAAAACCAAAGGTCACTGGCCAATAGGAAAGGGTGAAGAAACTAAAGCAAATGGGCAGTGGGCTAAGCAGCTCTGTCAGTCTCCTCTCCTCCCAGCCTATCTTGGTTCCCAGAGAGAGGAATGCAAGCTGGTGCTAAGTAGCTTAGGCCACCCATTTCTCATACAGAGCAAGGAGAAGCCAGCAGTCCCACACTGGTCTATCAGGCTGTATTGTTTCTATACAAAAAGCAATCCTGGATACAGGTCCCTTATGATACTTATTTATTTTAAAATGGGGTCTTGAGCCAGGCATGGTGGTGCACACCTGTAATCCTAGCACTTGGGAGGCTGAGGCAGGAGGATCGCTGCAAGTCTAAGGCCACCCTGGGCTACATAGTGAGTTCAAGGCCAGCCTGAAGTACACAGCAAGGCTCTATCTCAAAAACAAACAAAAAAGATGGCCTGATGGCACACGCCTGTAATCCCAGCACTAGGAAGGCAGAGGTAAGAGAATCACTGCAAGTTTGAGGCCAGCCTGGGCTGCATAGTGAACTCAAGGCCAGCCTGAACTACACAAAAAAAGGAGCGGGGTCTTAATTTGCTTAGGCTGGCCTTGAACTTGAAATTCTCCTGCCTTAACCTCCCAAGTAGGGGGAGCTACACTGTGCTCACACTTGAATTTTTAAAAATTTTATTTTATTTTTGGCAGCGCTGAGGACTGAACCACGGGCCTTTACACTAAGCTCCATCCCCAGCTCTTTGGTTTTTATTTTTAAAAAATTGGAAATAGTGTCTGAGTAAGCTTGAGACCACTTGAGATCCTCCTGCCTCAGCCTCCTGAGACCCTCAGTACAAACTCCCCACCAGACCCACGTTTACGGTGGATTTCTAGGAAGCACGCTAACACACCACGGCCTGAATATAGCCCCCAACCTCTTCCTGCATCTCCCGAACAAATGCATTTCTTGGGAGCGTCTTGCGCCGTTACCCACACATTTTAGATGGCGAGAGCTGGCTCCACTCTGTCCCTGGGGTTTCTTGAGGGTGCGCAGCGATCTTCGCCTGCTAGCCCTAGACACCCCAAGGAAGCCGGCCTGCTCGGCGGGCTGCTGGGACCCCCACCGCCCGGCGTCCGGGCCACTCACTGAGACGGCAGAGCAGCACGCGCGGCGTGGGCGTGAGCGGGGTGCGCGGCAGGGCGGGGGGCGCGCACGGGCCC